CCCGCCCCCCGCCGACCCCGCCCCCCGCCGACCCCGACGCCGACGCCGACCCCCACCCCACCAAGCCGACCACCCCCCCCCGTGGCTTGGTGGATGGAGCCCAGGAATCATGGGCTAGGCGAGCGCTGACCCGCGCCCAGGCCCATCCAAGTTCACGAGCATCCAGCACCTAGCACTTGCTCCTGACCACACTGCCCAGGGTCCTCGACACAGGAGCTGACCACTGTGTTGCTGTCGCTGATTTTTTTGCTTTTTCTTGGTCCTGGGATCCAGCCCAGGGCCGCGTGCACTGAGCCACCCCGGTCCCCATGCCCACTCCATCTGCTAGCCAGCCTCCTGCCACAGGAGGGAGACCCAAGTTAACCAGCTGCAAGGACGAAGGCTAATTTGGGCTCACAGGTTCCTGGACTTGGTCCAGGGTCCCCAGGCCTCCTGTTTGAGCCTGCGGGACAGCACCATGGCAGAGCCCCCTTTTGTCACACCTCATGCTCCCGCCAGGGCCACTATGCCCTTTGAAAGCACATCCCCAAGGACAGTCCTCTCACTAGCACCAACTCCCAGTAGTGCCCCAGAACGGCCACCGAGCCCTTAGGACATGGGCCTCTGGGGGCTTCTAAGATCCATGCTGGCTGGGCACAGTGGTATGGCTTGTCATCCCAGTGGCTCTGGAGGCTGAGGCTGGAGGATCGCAAATTGGAGGCCAGCCTCAGCAACATCGAGGCCCTAAGCAACTCAGGGAGACCCTGTCTCTAAATAAAATCCAAAACAGGGCTGGGGATGGGACTCAGGGGTCGAGGGCCCCTGGGTTCAATTCTGATCCCGTTTTCCCGAGTCTCCGCAGCACCTTCCTCACTCTCAGTGAAGACTGAAACGCTCCTTTCGCTCAGTGACAGCGGCCTCCCAATGAGGCTGCTAATGAGTCCTCAGGGAAGCTTCGTGTGCTAATCACACACGGCATACAGCTTAGCGGGCGGGAGCCCGTCCCCAGCCCACGGCTGAAGCCTGGTCCCCCCCTTTCCCTCTCTCATTAACTAATAAACTGTTTGCTTTATCTGATGTCAAAACCGCCTCCTGAGAACCAGTCATTGGGAAAAACACTCAGAGACGTGTGCATCCAGCAGGCACAGCTGTGGACCTGCAGGGTCCGGAGGAGCAAGGACGGGGGGTTCACTCAGCCATGCCTTCCTGACCCTGAGCCTCAGTTTCCCCATCTATGCAATGGGAGGGTTGGACGGGGTCATGGAGTAGTAAAGTTTTACTTAGGGGGCTGGGGTGGAGGTCAGCAGTAGAGGCTCGCCTAGCACGTGTGAGGCCCTGGGTTCGATTCTCAGCACCGCATGTAAATAAACAAGTAAGATAAAGGTTTGTGTCCATCGACAACTAAACATAAATTATTTAAAATAATTAGAATATATAAAGGCTCATCAGCAACTAACTCTATATAAAAACATCAAATAGTAGCCTCCATCAGTTTGCTCTGTGGGTGTAATAAGCTCCAGCACAGTCATGAGCAAACATATGGTGCTCAATCATTGTCAAATCTTCTACCATCCTTTCCCAGAGGGGTCCAGCACAGTCCACAAATCCATATCAATCAGGAGACGGGCATGTCGGCTCATGGCTGTCATCCCAGCAGCTCGGGAGGATGAGACAGGAGGATCAAAAGTTGGAGGCCAGCCTCAGCAACTGATTGAGGCCCTGAGCAACTCAGCGAGACCCTGTCTGTAAATAAAATGCAAAATAGGGCTGGGGACGGGGCTCCGTGGTCGAGGGCCCCTGAGTTCAATCCCTGGTGCCAATATATATATAAATCCATGAACCAGGAAGAGATGCCAACCCACGAGAGCCCTGACCTTGAGTCTTCACCCACCTTCAGCACCATCTACCTGTGACACTATAGCTCCTCACAGGTGGCCTCTGTCCCTCCAACCTTTGGTTCTGGATTCAGACGCATGGCTCCCATTGTCCAGTTGAATGAAGGGCTTCACTGTGAATGAGGACAACATGCCCCTCCCGGCCTCACCCTCCAGAGGTGACCAGTGTTTCCACACATTCTCTGGCACCTTGGTCGTCACCATGGGAGACAGGAGGAGGAGGGACACATGGGCAAGGTGCTCTCAGCTGAAACTCGGCCTGAATGTCAGCTGACACAAGATATTGATTTGGGGGAGACATTTGTTACACGGCAATAGTTAACTGATACATCGAATGCTAAGCCGGGCACGTGAAGCTGTTTTAGATCTCTCTTTGGCTCTGACAAAGAAATAGCTTAAAAAAATAAACATTTGGATGGAGAGCAGATAGTGCTCAGAGGGAAACAGGAATGATCAATAAACAAATAAAAGCTCATCCTTTTTTGTACCATCAAGGAATTTAAATCACTCATAAAATTCTAATTTCCATCTACCAAACCAGTAAAGATAAACACACACATATGGCGATATTGTGTGTTGGCGAAGAGTGGTAGAAACAAAATCTCGTCCCCAGCTGGTGGGTGTGCAGACTGATACAATGCTTTGCAAATGTGGTAGCATCTACCAAATTGGTAATGGGCATGTGCCATGACCCAGTAATTCTACTTCTAGAGAAACTCCCGCCTCTGCACCTCTATTAGTCAGCTTTGCATTACTGTAATGGATTACCTGAGAAAATTGACTTATAAAGAAAAAAGGTTTATTTGGGCCCATGGTACTGGAGGGCCCAGGCCAAGATGGAATGGCTTCCTGGTTACATCATGAGTTCAAAAGCAAAGAGAGAGGATAGACAGGGTCCCACAGTCCCTTTTTAAAAAATTATTTTCTTTTAATTGTAGTTGGATGCAATACCTTTAATTAATTAATCTATTTTTATGTGGTGCTGAGGATTGAACCCAGGGCCTCACATGGGCTAGGCGAGCACTCTACCACTGAGCCCCAGCCCCAACCCTATAAAATAACTTTATGGGAAAATTCTCTTAGAAATTATTTTCTTGCTGGGCACGGGGGGTGCACACCTGTCACCCCAGCAACTCGGGAGGCTGAGGCAGGAGGATTGAAAGCTCAGCGACTTAGCGAGGCTCTGTCTCAAAATTGAAAAAAATAAATTAAAAGGGGCTGGGGAGGTGGCCGTGACATGAGAGCATTTTTTCTTAGGAAAATAATTTTTCTTTTTCTTTTATTTCTTGGTACCAGGGATTGAACCCAGGGGTGCTTAAGCACGGAGCCCCATCCCCAGCCCTTTTTAGATTTTATTTAGAGACAGGGTCTCGCTGAGTTGCCTCAGCGCCTCACTAAGTGGCTGAGGCTGGCTTTGAACTTGGGATCCTCCTGCCTCAGCCTCCGGGCCACTGGGATGACAGATGAGCGTCACCTGATGAAATATTTTTTTCTTATAAAAACTTTGGGGCTGGGGCTGTGACTCAGAGGCAGAGTGCTTGCCTCACAGGTGTGAGGCACTTGGCCTGGCCTCGAGGCTGGGCTGCTGACCAGGCCTCCCTGCCTCCTCAGGCACGAGGCACGTCCTGGGCCGGCCCTGTGCCAGGTCACGGAGGGAACCTCCCGCCTGGAGGGGACGTGGGATGGCGAGTGCAGGCGGGTGGAGGGGCAGCCCTGCTGCCCAGGAGTCTGAGCGGGGCCCCTTCCCTGGGAGGCCCCTGTGACCCCAGCAGTTCCACTCCCCACCCCCACCCGGGAGTGGGCAGGAGGCAGGGCTGGTCCCTCAGACCCTCCAGCCTGGCTGCTTGGCCTGGGCGCTTGCCCACTCTGACCCTCAGTCTTCTCCTCTGTGAAATGGGCCCGGGGAGGCGGTAGGGCAGCACTCAGCCCGGGGACAGACCCAGCCCAGGAGGAGGACGGTGGCACCCCAGCTGCTGTTCTGAAGGAGGCCGTGGGGAAGCCAGAGAGGGCTCCCGGGACTGGCTGCCAGGTGGGCGCCAGGTGAGGACACCGTCTTTCCGCCAGATGTCCATGGTCACTTCTGCTCACCGTGACCACCACGTGGTCACCTGTTGACGTCTAGCGGCAAAGAGGGTGGGGAACCAGGTGTCCTGGGGATCTTGGCTCAGCTCCAAGGCAGGTGGAGCTCAGACCCTTGGGAAGAAATGGGGATGGACCTCAGGGACAGTGGGCAGCAGAGGCCCCTTGGCCAGGCGGGGAGCAGGAGGGCCCAGGAGCTGCCGAGGGTCAGGGGCGAGGAGGGCAGCGTGGCCGGGGGTGTCCAGGCCATGGAGATCAGCAGGGGCCAAGCAGGCGGGGGCCATAGCAAGGGGACATGCTCAGTTGACATTGGATGACGTGGTGGCAGAAGGGCAGGCCCGTCCCCCCGCGCAGAGCCGCTGGCTCCTGTCCCCAGCTGGGTTCCCTAAGGAAGGGTACCCTGGCCACAGTGGCCTGGGCTCGCCTGGGCTCCGGCGACAGGACGCGGGCAGCCCCGCAGTGACCACAGCCCTCGTGAGAACAACCACAGAACTTTATTGACCACACCAGGAGCCGGGCTCCGCGACATCCAGGTCGTCAGTGTGAGCTCAAGTAACAGGCAAGGCACAAAGGTCTCAGTCCCCAGCTGCAGAGCAGTCAGTGCTGTTCCCAGCCCCACGGTGGGCCTCAGAGGCTGAGCACTCAGCAGACACGTGGCGTGCAGGTGTGGCTGGCTCCAGGCGCACGGTGCACAGCCTGGATCCAGGGCCTGCCCTCCCTGGCCCCAGACCTGGAGGGGGCACTGGGCACAGCGGGGTCTGAGCTGTCCTCTGGTGGAGTCCCCTCCTGGAGGGCAGGTCCTGGGTGGCCGCCCAGCCTCCTCGAGGCCAGGGTGGGCTCGGGGCCTCCAGGAGGCTGCCCGGCGGCAGTGCGGGGCGGGGGAGGGGATCTCAGGCAGGAGGGGACACCGTGGCGGGGGGACACTGCAGCTGGGGGACACCGCAGCTGTGTCTGGCTCGGGTGGGCCGAGGTATTGAGCGTGGCACAGGAGCGGCAGGGACGCTGGGTCTCTGTGCTAAAGGGACAGCAGAAGGCCCCATGGGGGCTCAAGGACACTCCAGGGACGGGCTCAGGCTGTCCTGGGGGGCAGAGGTCACGCGGAACCAGGAGTTTCTACAAAGACGCAGAGCCACTGTCACAGTGGCCCCCGGAGGGGACGGAGCCGCCCCGGGTGCTTGGCTCTGGGCTCAGGTGTCCAACTGGCTCGGCTCCTGGTCGTGGCTGGGGACAGTTCCTGAGGTGGGCGGGGCTGGCCCAGGACACTGCTGTCCCCGGCCTGTCGTAGCAACAGCCACAGGGAGAGTCTTCACGGGGAGGAGACACACAGGCCAGGCGCCCCACAAGCCCCAGCGTCACCAGAGAGCCCTTCCCTGAGACCACGAGGGTGACACGCGGGTGACTCGCCTTGCCACGGCCCAAGGTTCTGAGGACGCAGCGCTTTTTAGCGGCAAGGAATACAAACACGAGGGTGTACGGGCTCCTGGTGGCCACACGGCTCGAAGGAGGAGGGACACAGCACACTGACCGCGGGCTCCTACCCACGGGGCGCTCAGGAGCTAGTGGGAGGCATAGGCTGGGCTCCAGAGCACCAAGCGGGGGCTGCCTCTGCGACCAGGAGGCAAGGCATTGAAGGAGGCCGGAGAGGAGGCCGCTGGATCTAGGGAGGAGGGAGAGAGAGAGTGAGCAAGGGACCCTCTGGGGGAGTAGACGTGTCTTCAACCCTCTTAAGCCAAAAGAAGCATTTATGAAGTGCCTGCTGTATGCCTAGGACACTTTCCTGATGAGGCCTGAGGCCTCCAGGAGGCAGCAAAGGGAGATCCTCAGGGGTATGATGTGGAGAGGGCGGTCGTTGAGATTGTGCAGTGCCCAACCTGTGCAGCTGTGCAGGGTGCCCCTGTGTCTCCTGTTCCTACTCAGGGGCTCACCCCCTGTAAAGGGAGCCCCTGGGTTATTTCCCCACTAACCCTCTGGGGTGTGGACAGGCTTCCAGGGGTCCCTGGGTTTTTGGAAGAGGATGTACTTCTGTAGACAGAAGCACTCTTCCAGGTGGGAAGAGGTGAGAGCCCACCGCAGGTATGGCTGTAAGGGAAGTGTGTCATCGAGAGCTCGGTGGCTCTCCTAGGTCCCGCGTCACAGGTGAGAGGCGTGGCAGGGCAGGGGCTGTGATTCCAGGGGCCAGGACATGTGTGGCATCTTACTTCCAAGGAAAATGCTTCTCTCTATGAAACTCTGCCCTCGTTCAAAAAGTCCACTCCCCAGCCTCCACCCGCGGCTGCCCAGGGCCAAGCCTGGATGGGGGCCCCTGGGCGGCGAAGGGGAGCCTGGACCCAGAAAGGGCTGCCGTGAACAGCTGCACAGGATGGGCACTGCAACCCCGTTAGATGGTGCTCCCAAAAGGATGTGCCTCTGGAGGCCTGTGGGGTCACCAGGCCTGTAGGGCCACCAGGTCTCAGGTCCCTCGGAGACGGAGGAGTTGTCAAAGGAATAGGCTTTGCCCTTTCTCCCTCTGGGGGACCCCTCAGGACTGCCTGGACCCCCCGCCTGACTTGGGTCCCACGAGGCAGTCCCAGAGTGGACACCTGGGCCAGCATGGGCAGGAGCCCGGGGCTGTCCCCCCACACCCCCACAGCCCGGCCCCGGGGCTCAGGGACCCCCCAGTCTGCCCATGGCAGGGACTACTCACAGTGGGGACTGTGCCCAGGGCTGGCTCGGGGCGTGAGGACCACGGGGCCAGTGAGCTCCTGGGGCCTATAGACCGTGTGGTAGGCTGCGAGGGCAGGCGGGTCAGCGTGGTCAGTACGGTCAGCAAGGGTAGGGCAGGCGGCACCCCCGCGACACCCCACGGCACCCCCCGGCTCACCTATGACGGTGACGGCCGTGACGGCCGTCCCGGCCAGCAGGGTGAAGAGCGAGAAGAACAGGGCCTGGTAGGAGTCCAGGAGGTGCTGGAAGAGACCGGCCCCGTCTGCGCGGGGACACCATCAGCAAGACCAGGCCAGGGCCACCCCAGGCCCCCGCCAGCCCCGCCCATCTGGAGGGTGGCCTGCCAGTGTCTGCCGGCCCCAGGATGCCCAGCAGGGCCACCAGGGCAGGGGACCCGCTCAGAGTCCACCCTGCGTCCCCTCTAGGTGGGAGGTTTCCCGTGGTGACCTGGCCCAGGGCCGGCCCAGGACGCACCTCGTGGCTGAGGAGGCAGGGAGGCAAGGAGGCCAGGAGTCCAGCCTCTAGGCCCGGCCAGCTGGGGAGACCCGTGGGAAGCCGAGCCATCGTCACGCTGCCCATGACAGGCGGCTCTGGCAATGGTGTCCGGGGACAAGAGGGTCGAGGGGTTTGGGAGCCAGAAATGGCTCAGGAGGGCGGGTCCCAGGAGGGGAGGACGCTGGCCAGGGCCCCCCGGGAGGAGGATGCTGTGGCCGGAGTGGGGGCCGTGGGGGGTCACAGGTGGACAAGAAGCCAGGGCCTGTGGGGTCCCATGGCCACTTCGGGGACCCAGGCCCACCAAGGGCCTCAGCGGGCCCAGGAACCTAGTGACCCCGACTCTGGATAAAACACTGGGGGGGGGTCGCAGGGGCCGGAGTTCAGTCCTCGGTACCCAAAAAAGGTGACTGTCACCTCGAGGGACACCCTGCACTTAGGACCCTCCAAGTCTGCATCTGACCACAGGTTTCCACTGACCCCCGAGACCACACTGGCCATCCCTGCCCCTGCCCCCCAGGTCCCTCCCGTGACGTCCCGTCCCGACACTCACAAGGACCAGCCCCACAGTGATCCAGCACCAGGGCCACCGTCACCGGGATGGTGAGGGCCTGGTTAGTGGCAGGGCTGGAGAAGGTCAGGGCGGTGGACAGAGGGCCCTGGCTGCCCGCCCTGGGATCCGAGACGCCGACCGTGTAGGTGATGAAACTGGGCAGCCCCAGGGACTTCTCCTTCGCGAAGGCCACCACAGCGGGGGACCCGGACCTGACCTGGGAGAGACGTCAGGCTGCAGGGACGCTCCACAGAGCCACTGGCCGGGGGACCCAGCACATGGACAGACAAACCAACCAACAAACGAGTAATACATAAAATTTTTTAAAAACTCTGCAAAACCAAGCCAGGTGCAGTGGCCCACGCCTGTCCTCCCAGCAGCTCGGGAGGCTGAGGCAGGAGGATCGCAAGGTGGAGGCCAGCCTCAGCAGCTTAGTGAGGCCCTGAGCAACTCAGCGAGACCCTGTCTCTAAATAAGATATAAAAATGGCTGGGGACGGTCACCACACGGGTAGTCAACGTGAAGTCCGACTGTGGTCCCTGAGTCCGCCCCGACCCCTCCGCTCACCTCCAAGCTGTCCAGGATCTCCGCGGCCCCAAAGACCTTGACCTCGCGGCTGGACAGGTGGTTGCTCAGGAGGATCTCGGTCTGGTCAGCGTAGAGCCCAGGGCTGAAGGGCACCTCGGCCCCCACCTGCTCCACAGACGTCTGGCCCCCGGCCACCGAGGCTGTGACCACCAGGGGTGTCCTCCTCGAGCTCAAGTGCCTTAGCTGCCCGTCAGTCAGCCTGTGCATTGTGACCGAGCAGAGGTACTGGCCTGCGGAGACAGAGGTGTCCTGCTTGTCCCTGTCCCCTACCTGCACTGACACCCCACCCTGTCCCTGACTCTCCTGACCCTGCACCGTCCTGCGGGTGCGGCGGTGGCTGAAGGCCAGCCTCCTGTGGGCCCAGAAGCGACAGAGGCCTGGCCCTGGTGGCACCGCACAGGACGGACTCCCAGGAGGGCCCTGGGCCAGGCTGGACAGCGGTGAGCCAGGCCATGACCACCGGGCAGCCCAAGGCGGTGGGCAGAGCCCCTCAGCCCTGGCTCACCCAGTGTGACGTCGAAGTCCGGCTCGGCCGAGAACACGTCTGTCACTGGGAGGTCGAAGACGTCTTGCTGGAACCGAAGATGGCAGCTGAGGAGGGCCTCGGGCCCCAGAGCCGGGATGGCCGCCCTCTGGGCAGCGGAGCACTCGCCTACAGACGGGCGGAGTCAGGAGGCCTGGCCCGCGGCCACCACACCCGGCCACCCAAGGCCAGGGACAGGTGGGCCCCAGGGAGGCGAAGGTGTCGGCCAGGAGCAGAGTGTCCCCTGGGTGGGAACAGCTGGCCAGGCGCAGCTTGGAGGCAGAGCACCTGCCCAGCCGTGGGGTCCTAGGCTCTGGGTGGCCTCTGGGTTCAGGGACACTGGGATCCACCTCCCCACGGCATGGACCTCTCAGGTTAGAGCTTCTGTCTCCCACGGTGACGGTCACTCTGGAGGCTGTGGCCTCCTGGAAGCTGGCCTGGGCCGTGTGGACACACCGGGCCACGATCCTCTGGGGGACACTGACCACGATCTGTGGAGGGCGAGGCAGCTGGTGAAGAGCCGCCCGCTGGCCATCCATGCTGGGCCCCCCGTGACCCCTCCTGAGCCTGCGGCCTGCGGACACCTGGCCCCAGGTGACAACAGGACCAAGGCCTGTCCACCCGGCCAGCACAGTGTACACTCAGTCTGCTGGACCTCATGACCCGGCCTGCGCCCCTCTCGACCTCATGGCACCTGTGACACCCAGATGACACACCAGTCAGGAGCTCCTGACCTGACCTCGCAGCAAAGAGGACCCACTTTAGTCTCCTGTCCTTTACTCGGAGTCATCAACCCCCACTGCAGGCCACAGGCAGAGGCCACACTGACCCCAGAGCCCAGGCACTGCCTCCTTCCAGGTCCCCAGGGGCCAGCTGGACAGGGCTGACCACCACAGCCCCGGACAGCACTCCTGGCCCTGGCTCCGCCCCAGTCCGTGTCCCACTTGATGCCTGTGGCTGGGCCTCGTCCCCAGCCCTGTGCCCAGCCCCTGTGCCCCGCCCACCCTCGGGGACACAGGAGGCCCCAGGTTTCCTGGCAGCCCCACGTGGAGGTGCGACCCCACCTGGACCCCCTGTGACCCCCACTGTGGTGCCCACCCCCTGCCCCGGCTCCCCTCAGGAAGGGCCGTGGGCGCCTGGTCAGCCACGTGGACAGGGTCACCCCAGCCCTGCTCCCTGAGGCCACCTGCGCACAGCCGCGGGACCAGCTGCCCAGACCTCACGCCTCCAGGATCTGACCAGAGACCAGCCAGGCCCAGGACGTGCAGCCCTCCTTCCAGCAGCCACCCAGGGCCCTGCGCCCCGGGACCTGCCTGCTGGGCCCTTCCAGGAGGCAGGACACGCCCAGTCCTTGGCCACCCAGGCATGGCACTAATGTGCCACCGGGGTCCACGCTGACCTGTCCTCAGCCGGACAGAAACACGGAGCCAAAGGGTTGCTGCCTCTAGAAGGCTCTGAAGGAGACCTTGTGGCTTCACTCTGTTGGTGACGTCACATCATTGAGCTTCCCTTGGTGGCCTCAGGTGGCCTCGGTGACTCAGGCGGCCTCGGTGGCCTGCGTGTCTTTCTAAGATTCCCCTGAGAGGAGCGGCCTCTGGGGAGGAGGCCCGGGGGTCTTGTCCCCCCTGAACAGCACAGCATGGTCACAGGGCACACAGTGCTTCCCTGCTGTCACCAGCCACCCGGGGACGACTCAGAGTGGACGCAGGGCCGCACAGGCCACAGGTCACACTGTGCTGTAGCACGTGAGGGACCTGACTGAGCACCTGCAGGTTTGGGGACCCAGGTCCTGGCCGACCCCTGGACACATGGTACTGGTTTAAAGGACAGGCGTTCCCAGCCACAGGCCAGGGCGCCGCTGCCCACAGAGGGTGGGCCAGGCCCGGCGCCCACTGCCCTACCTCCTTTTAGGTCCTCAGGTGCCCGGGGACCTCGTAGTGCACCGTCACGGACCCCGCGTCCCGGGCCACGGCCATCCCCGTCTTGGGGTCGACCTGGAGGATGCTGTCGGCTGAAGAGCTCCAGGTTCCTGGGGCACCTGGGAGGAGAGGCCCCATGTCACCCATCCCCCCAACAGAGGACCAGCCGCCCATGACCTCTTCCTGACCCCTGCCCACTAGGGGCCTTGTGGTTCAGCCTCCCTGCCCGCCTCCGTGGCCACGTCCTGGTGGCCCCTTCTGGCACACCTGCTCTATGGACTGTGGCTGCCCAGCAGACCGTCCCCAGGGGTGCCGTCACCAGGGGAACTGTCCCCAGGGCCACCCTCCCCAGGCGCCCACTAGGGAGTGGCCCTGCTACCCAGGCAGGTACATCTCCAAAGCCAACATGGCCTATGTGGCCCTCTGGTGTCCTTCCTGACCCCTTCAGGGCACCCCAGGGTCCCCCTCCCACCCTGGCAGGCGCGGTGACCCCGAGACTGCCCTGGTTGGCTCTCTCACCCTTGGGGCCCGTGAGCGCAGTGGCCAGGCAGAGGACATCCCCGACCACCACGGTGCCGGGCATCTCTGGAGTGATGGCCGGCAGGATGGGCAACGGCACGTAGTCGGAGAGGCCGGGGTGCTCGGGGTCCCACACGCGCAGCAGCGTCAGGCCCACGCTGACCGTGCGCAGTACGCAGGTGTTGTTGGTGGTGCCCTTGGTGACCTGCACGAAGTCCTCTCTGGGGACAGGGAGGCGCTCAGCTGGAGGGAGTCCCAGGGCTTCGCAGGCCTCCTCGCGCCTTGCAGGACAGAGGCCACAGCCCCTGGCCACCCAGGGCCAGCACCACCACCCCACACCCAGAAGGGAAACCGCGGCCAGGAGGAGAGTGACCCCCAGAGAAGGCCTCTGCTGTGGGACAGCCTTGCCACGTCCCCTCTGTCCACCGGTGACACTGTGCCTGCCACGTGGCGTGACGGGCGCGCTAAACGGCTGGCGCTTAGAGAGCAGCTGGTGCCCGTGTCTCCTAAGGCCCCACTCTGCCAGCTCGGCCACCGGCCGTGGGAAGCCCAGGCTGCAGTGGTCACCACCGGCAGGATGCTCCCTCTGCTCCCCCAGACCCTGGAGACGGTCTGCTCCCTCCGCCAGGCAAGGTGGCCCCTCCCTGGGAAACCACGAGTGACCCCAAAATAAAAACAGATTTGAATTGGACAGCACTGGGTCCTGTTGGTGGCTGAGCCCAAGTCCCCACCTGTCGCCACACCGGGTGGAACCAGGGGCACCCCGGGTGGGGCTGTGACAACAGTGTCACCCACACCCTACCTGTTGGTGGCAAAGCTGAGGACCGAACTGTGCACGTGGAAGACGTCTCCAAAGTGGTCGTGGAAGTGGACGGTGAAGGTCACGGTCATCCCCAGAGGCAGGGCCGCCAGGGCCTCCTTGTCCTGGGTGTGCAGGACCGGGCTCATGGACATCCTCAGGTAGGAGATGGGGGACACCTGGAGGACAGGGGCAATACGATGACACCCTTGAGCCGGGGACAGGCCTCCAGAGCGCCAGGCCTATGACCCAGTTCCCGCCTCCAACCGTGCAGGCCAAGTCCCCCGGGTGCCACCCAGGACACCCACATCAGGACCTGGAGAGACCAGAGTGCTGTGCTCGTTACTTAAGCACCACCGGCTGTCACCTGGCTCTTGGGGCACGTGAGGCGGGAACAATGCCCCTTGGGTCAGAGAGGAGCCCCAGGTGACGGAGGAACCCGAGTCCCATAAATCGCAACTCAACAAATCTCTCTGGATCCCAGGCAGAAACCTCCTGGTCACAAAGCCACCCCTCCCCAGTCCAAAGTCACCGCAAAGTCCCGGGAGGCAGTGGCTGGTATAGTTAGCGCTCAGCACGTGCGTGCTGAAACAGGATGAGCACTTAGCCACTTTCATGAGCTTGAAAGTATCGTGGGGGGTCCCCGGCAAGTGCAGAGTGTTTGGTCAAGGATCGACCTCGCTCTTCCCTGGGTGCCCCCGCAGGGGCTCCACTCCCAGGGGTGGCCACGTTAGGGATCAGGCACGTCAGGCAGTGTACCCTTGGGCCGGGGGGACGGGGCACCAGCCCTGGGCCCCCGGGCTGATCCAGGCCCTCATTGGACTTGTTTCCCATCTATGAAACAAGGTGGGTGGAATCGGTGACCTCTTGGGGTCTTTGGCTCCAACGGCCACACACCTGTCCAGGATTTGTCCCTGGGTGACTCTTACGTAAATCCCTACCCACGGTTTACAGCTGGAGAGTGAACACATTTTTTTTTTTGGTACTGGGAAACTGAACCCAGAGGTGCTTAACCCCTGAGCCCCATCCCCAGCCCTTTTTGTATTTTATTTAGAGATAGGGTCTCCCTGAGTCGCTCAGGGCCTTGCTAAGTTGCTGAGGCTGGCCTCCAACTGTCGATCCTCCTGCCTCAGCCTCCTGAGCTCCCGGGATCACAGATGTGCACCGCAGGCCCCCGGCTGGGTGAACCAGTTTTACACCAGAAAGAGGAAACACGTGCCTCTGAGCTTTAGATTTTGTTATCCAAAACAGGGCCAAGTGCCACCCACCTTCATGGCAATGATGATGGTCTGGTTGGCCCCGAAAGGCTCCTGAGCGGTCACTTCGACAGTGGAGGTCCCGATCACAGAGCCGGACACCAGGAAGCCCCTCTCATCGGCATGCACGACGGGAACCTTCTCAGGCCCCTCCAGGACACGGTAGCAAAGAGCCGCGGCACCGTCCCTTGGGGAAGAAGACATCTGTTTCTGCAGATGGCTGCGGGGGTGGGGGACGGCCCTGGTCGATGCCTCGAGATCGACCATCTGCCTGCAGTGCAGCGTGTGCTGTCGCCGTCTGCAGCCTCGTCAGCCACCCCCAGGAGACCTAAGCCAGAAAGCCTGTGGCTCTGAAGACAACGTGGCCACACACTCCTCAGAGTGGCCGTGGGGTCAGCGGGCAGCGGGCGACAGACCCTGAGGACGGTTGCATCAGCGACACGGTCATTTATGGGTAAAGATGGCTTCTGCAGCTAACAGTCACTGAGGTCAGGCCGCCTGGTGCGGTGGAGAGTGCGGGGCGGGGGCAGGACTGGGGCGGGGACAGGACCCTGGTGGGGACAGGATCCAGGTGGGGACAGGTCCGAGGTGGTCTAGAGCTTCCTCCGCCTTCCCTCTGGCCTCGGTTTTGTCAGCTCTGAAAGGGGAGGCCGAGTGCCCCGTCCTATTTCTGGGGCTGCTCACTGGACCCTGAGAGGGGTCACAGACACCGTCAGCAGGCACTGAGCCAGGGGACGTCCTGTGGTGTCCTATGCCCTCTCCTCTGCGGCCAGCCCTCCAGGTGATCTGGGCCGCGGCTCCCCTAAATCTGGGGGCCAGCAGCTCTTACTTGAGCCCTGGCTTGGCCGTGTGGCCCCTTTCTTGGGGGGCTCCTGCAGGACGCCTGCTGTCACCTGATGTCACCTCGTGCCATCCACCTCTGCCTGCATTCCTGGGGCCTAGCACAGTGCTGGGCACTGAGTTACTTCTGGCTGAACACTCCCTGGGTGTGCGTTCATAAAACATGGAACTCGGCCCCCGGGCCCTTAGCAACTGCCACTTAAGCGCAAATGCTCCTTAGGAAAAGTGTCCCTGTCCCTGTGAGGGTCAGGTGGGAATCACGTCTGCTCAGAACCTTTAAAGATGCACTTTTCGGACGTTAATGTGCATGGCCACCGCCCAGGGACCTCATTACAGGGCAGCTTTGTCCTTGCGGGTCTGGGAAGGGCTGCGAGGCGCACTTGACCTGGTCCCAGGTGAGGCCGCTCTGGTTAATTCATGGTCTCCGCTTCTGAGTCATTTGAAATATTTAACAGTCCAAGTTGGAACTTGTTCCCCTTTTCAACCCCGAGCTTCCCCCGTGAGTGGGAGATGTTTCTAGGCTGCGGTAGGCGGGCGGCCCCGGAGGAGGCCAGAGATGGGCAGTGGCCGCCCAGGTCCAGCCCAGTGCCCAGAAGGCCCCGTGGTGTCCAGATGGGCATGGGGGGGGCAGCTCCCAGCCCTGCTGTGAACAGGAGCCGGGACACGTACCTGTTTGTCTGGAGCTTGATAAACTAGTTGGGGGACATTAATATTTGTTCTGCTTCTATCTCGGGGTTCAGCAGCCACAGCTTCTCGAAAACCTGGGAAAGAGGGTGAGCTGGGTCTCCCACGGCACGCCTGAATCCCCTTATCCACAAGTGGGGGCTGGGGGCCAGGACGAGACCAACGGCAGACTATCTGCCCCATGGCTGGGGACACGATGGGGCTGGTGGCCCAGCCCAGGAGCAGCAGCTGTCTGCACCCCGTGGGAGCTGGGCCACCCGGCTTCACCCTCGGCCTCGGCCTCGGCCCCCGTCACAGGAGACTCCATAGCAGGGAGATCAGGCCCGGCGTCCTGCTCGGGGGACCCCCGCCACTGAGACATCCTGTCCCTGTCACCATCTCAGAACAAGCCTCTCTCTCTGCTGTGGCCCATCCGGCTCCCTCCCCTCTGCCATGCTCGAGGGCTCCTGGAGGACACAGGGGCAGCAGGACTCCTAGGGAGCCCACCACCTACATTCCCTCTCCAGACCACATAGGGCAGCTGGCTCCCTGCCCTCCAGGAAGCTGGTCCTGTGTCATGAGGCCCCACCCAAGGCCTGACCCCTGACCACAAGCAGGGCCCCTGACCACCTAAGCAGGCTCCGCCCTCCCCTGAGTAGGCTCCACCCTCCCCTGAGCAGACTCCACCCTCCCCTGAGCCAGGCTCCACCCTCCCCCTGAGCAGGCCCTGCCCTCCCCTGAGCAGGCCTCACCTTCCCATGGGCAGGCTCCGCCCTCCCCTGAGCAGACTCCACCCTCCCCTGAGCAGGCTCCACCCTCCCCTGAGCAGGCCCCGCCCTCTCCTGAACTAGGCCCAGCTGCTGTTCCTGGAACCCACAGGCTGTTCCCGGTCACCAGGCCTTTGCTGCTCAGATCTGCAGCCAACCCTGCCACCGGCAGAGTCCCTCCATGCAGTCTGGCGACACCACCCTTGGGCTCCCCCCAGGGTGACACACACCCCCTCTGCCCGTCCTCCCCAGGCAGGCGCAGCCCCTCAGTGCAGCGAGGGTCCCCCACACCAGGGGCCCAGGAGCTCTGGGCCAGGCCCCTGCGCTGTCTGCTGCCCTCACGGCTGTGTCCCGTCAGTACCTGGACCTGGATCTCGTCTGAGAGCTCCTTGGCAAGGCCGTGCAGCTGTCCCACCAAGGGGTCCAGGGCCTTGACCACCACCCTCAGCCCCGTGCGGCCCTTCGCCCGGCCGAGCAGGCTCATGGCGAAGTTGTACTGTGAGGGCAGCTGGACGGACGCCTGGAAGGCAGAGAGCGGGCTCAGGGACAGGCCTGGGGGCACCCTCTTCCCCAAGTCCACTGCCCTCGGCCGGGGTCAGATCTGCTGACCCAGGGCCACACAGACGGCAGTCACCCACACAAGGCCACCGGCCACTCTGCATGGTGCCTGGGACGCGGGGTCACTGAGCGGGGCCTGGAGCCCTGTGTGTGCGTGGGAATGTTATGTGGGGGCTGCTGGGTTTTGTGGGGTCCCCCACAGGGCCCACTGCAGGACGTCTGTGATAAGCCACAGTGTGTCCTGCAGCGGGCCCTGTGTCCCCTGCCCTGGGACAGGCCCCCGGGGCGATGAGGCCGCCCGCCCTCCGGGAGGCAGGCTGGGCCCTACCTCGTGGTGCCGTCCGCGGAGCTCCAAGATGTCGCGCTTGGTGACCGACCAGTGGAAGGTCAGGCCTGGCACGGCGTTTGCAAAGGAGAAAGGGCTCTGGTTGTTGGTGACCCCAGTGATATAGACGGGCATCTGGGGGTGAGAGAGCCGGGCCTGTGAGCACCCACGCACCCAGGCTGGGGACCCTCCTCCTGGAGCTCTGCCTATCTGCCCATGTCCACCCCAGGCCGGACACAGGTTCTGGGAGCCATGACCAAACACCAGATAGTCCAACCACCGGGGACCGGCCTGTCCCTCCCTGCCAGGGGCTGTGCATGGCCAGGTCCATTTCTGGAAAGACCCCTGGGGCTGCAGGAGGCCTGCGGACACCCCTGGCCACTCAGCCCATGCTGCCGAGGTCCGCACCCTCCTGCTGACCCTCCCAGGCCTTGTGGGGCGTGGACACCGGCAGCCTGGCTCCTTCAGCCTGTGGGCAGGCGTAGGTGAGCCGGCCACCAGCTGGCCCCCAGCCCGACTCCAGGTGGCAGACTGGGGACACGCAGTGCTAGCCACACCCGCAACCAGCTGCACAGGCCTGAGAACTGACTCGCCCTGCGGATGCTGGGGACATTGGGGACAACCCCAGGTGCATGGGAGGACACACAGGCCCCTGCACCCACGGGGCGCTTCACATGAAGGACGAGGGCACTCTTAGGTCCTGGTATTGGCAGGGGCTCTGGGAAGCAGGCCTCCTGGGTGCCAAGGACAGCAGCCCTGGCTGTGCACAGGACTCGGGGTATCCACGTCCATCGCTCACCGGCCAACCTCACAGGTGCACGGGGTAGGGGCTCCTGCTATCCAGGTGCTACCCAAGGTGGGGGATGGGCAGCCTCGCCCTCAGGGAGGAGGCCAGGTGGACCCCAAGGGGAGACGCTATGCTTGTGTTGCACGCCCACCCCACCCCAGGCCCAGAACCGAGCCTAAGCTGGGCACCATGGACACGTGGCTCTGGCCCAGGGAAGTGCCCTCACAATGGCTTCGTCAGAACCAGAACACGGAGCCCCATCCCGACTGGTCCTCACCTGGGTGCCCGTCCTCATGCGCGTGATGGGTGCGCGGATCCTCACCGCCCGCAGCTGCACCACCTCTAGCTCCACCAGGTCCTGGGAAGAGACTGGGCTCAGGCTGCGGGCCCTTCAAAGTCCCCATCTGGCCCCTGAGCCTCGAGGCCTAGCGGCCCAGCTGACCCATGTTAGCATGGCAGGCTTGCTGGGGCCTGTTCTCTCAGCGGGTGGCCCTCGCAGGACAGGTCTCTAGGTCCACTCAACCCCAAATCCAGCTCGTCCTTCTCCCTGACTCAGGACACAGGGAGGCACACAGGAGCCACAGGGTGCGGTGAGAACAGACTGCACATACTCCCACATTCTCATCTCCATGCTTCTGTTGATCTGACCAAATGCCCACTTCAGTGGCCTGACCTGCGCAGCTGACCTGGGCTGTGCTCAGGCTACTAACCCCTCCAGGCCTGCTGACAGGCTCAAGGGGACCCTGTGCCTCCTGACTGCTGTCAATCCTTGGCACTCAGCTGGTCCTGAAAAGCACTCACTCTCCCACCTGCCCCGGGTCCTCCTTCTCTGGTCCATTTCCACTAAGAGGCCTGGGCCACCCAGCAGGACCACCCAGCAGGTTGGGGTGCTGATTCTGAGCTGGGGTTGGACAGCTGGTCCTGGACGCTTTGACCAGACACAGCTCGACATGGACGTGGGTCCAGGGAGCAAGGGGGCCAGCAAGGCCAGGCCACAGGGAAGAAGGGCAGAGGGGAGGGGACAGGGCTGTCGTCCTCTGCCTGGCCCCAGAGAGGAGGAGCCGGGTCCCCCCCCAGAGAGAGAAGCCAGCAAGGCACCCGGGGCCTCTGGACCCCGTGGAAGTTTCCGGGCGCTCAGGGCTGCCCTGCGTCTGCTGGCACGGAAGAGGGTCAGGGCGTCCCCTGGTGCTCACAAAGCCTCTGTGGTCACCCGGATGCTTGGAAGCCCGCACTGAAGCTGCGGGCGGAGGAGTCCATCAGTGGACTCATGGTTGGATCAAAGTCCGCCTGGGAAGCAGGATCACACGCCCTGAGCTCAGAGGGCTCGGGCTGCTCGGAGGGGACCCGCTTCTGGGCGAGGGACGCCGGCTGAGATCTGAAGAGGCCCTCCTCCCTGGTGGCCCTGCGTGCCCACGGGGCTGTCATCAGCCCCCAGCGCTCAGTGTGGCCGGCAGCGGGACCCCAACCTGCACCTGAGGGCCTGGGTCACCACGGTCGAAGGATGCCAGGGGCACCCAAGGCCTCTGAGGTACCTCTGAGCCTCTCACAGCCATGGAGATGACCCGGCCTCCACTCCAGGAGATGGAGGTGCCCGACCCCCGGGAAAGGCAGCGGACCTCGGATGCTGACCCCCGGCCTGGAGCCCCGCATGCAGGCGGGGCAGGAGGCCCGCCCAGCAGGGACAGCTGTCTGGTGACCAGGAGGAGCAATCAGGCCTGTCCCCCCAGCAGAGGCTTGGGGACACCTGACTGTGGCAGGTGGCTCACGGTCCCTCCTGGAGGTGCCACCCCTGACTGATTCTCAATCTGCCACACTTGGGGCACGACCCTGAGCGCACGCACACTGTCACCCACACAGTGTCCCCTCCTCTGTCCCTGGCACATAATCAAACCCCACTGGGAATGAGCCAGCAAGACCAAGAGCCTGGCCACGTCCCAGACCTGCCACACGAGGACAGGGCCACTGGCTGGTCACTCCAGGGGCTCTCTGCAAATGGGAGCCAGAGGCACAGAGCTGAGGACCGAGGAGAGGACCGCACAGCGTCCACCCACTGGGGGCACGGGGTGGGGTGGTGGCCTGGCCCGCCACAGGAGACCTGGGAGCCTCGGCCTGCAGGAGGCACCCGGGGACGGGGCCCACATGGGCAGTTTGTCCCGGGAGGGGACACATAGGGACAGCAGGTTCAGGGGCAGGTCCCCAGGAGTGCCTGGTACCGCTGGCCACACGGGGCTGCCTGGATCCAGGGCACCAACCCGCAGGGCTCCCCACCCCAGGTGTGGCCGGTGCCGGTCACCACGGGCTCAGGGATACCTGGGAGCCCACGATGACCTTGCCGGTGTCCGCGTCCGCCGCTGGCACGACGCCCGACACGGTGCCGCTGCCCACGGCCAGGCCACGGACCAGCCCTGTGCTGCCCACGGTGGCCACGCTGGCATTGCTGACGGAGAAGAGGATGTGGGACTGCGGCTGGGGACCGCCCTCAGAGGTGACCTGCGGGGCAGACGCGTGGCTTCGTGGGCACCTGCACACGCGTCAGGAACGTCCACCCTCGGGCCAGCAGAGGCCACAGGCGGGCTTGTCCTGAGGCGGGGCGGTGGCCTCCTCGCTGGGACCCGCTGGGGACATGAGTGGGAGGGACAGGCCTCGGCTCCTACCTGCATCGTGGCCCCGATGATCAGCGTCACCCTCCTGGGAATCAGCCTGAACGGGGGGGGGAAGACCTGAGGGGACGGGAGAGGACGGGTGAGCCTCAGTCACGTGGGTCACATGGGGCACAGCGCCCACGCCTCAGGAGCTGGTGGGCAGAGGTCCGGCGGCGATGATGGACAGTGGACCGGTAGCCATGGGTGACCGTGGGGGCCTTGGTAGGGCACGCGTTCTCTGGCCCAGGACAGAACCACAGAGCCCAAGGCGGGTCCTGTGATGGGGACACAGCCCTTGGGGGCTCACACACGTCACCGTCTGCCACCTCTGGCTCCCAAGGTCCCTCCAGATCCCTGAGGACGTGAGGAGCCCAGCGGCCATCTACTCCAGCATCCTCGGGATTTCTGAGGCTCAAAGAGGGGCCGAGGGGCAGGCAGAAGGGACACAGCGCCCCCCCGACACGGCAGGTCCCCACCCCCTGGGCAGCCCCACAAGTCCCCGCGGCCATGGGAGCCGCCAGGATGCTGCCCATGGTAGGAGGGTCAGCCTCCCAGGGCTGCGCCAGGGGGAGGAAGGTGACCATGCCCTGGAGGCCAGCACCATCCCCTGGAAGCCTACTCTGTCCCCTGGAGTTCTGCACTGTACCCTGGAGGCAGGCATGGCCCCTGCCAGCTTTGGACGCAGGTCAACAAAGCCCACTGGCCCCTGCGGGGCCAAATCCCTTGGAGGGTCCAAACAACAGGGTGCCCTGGCCCCGGTGGCCTTGGCAGTAAGACTCTAAGGACCCGACAGAGCCAGCGTCACACAGAGACAGGGGCTTCAGGGCTGCCTTCCCCAGAGCGGCCGGCCCTGGGTGGCTCCGGGTGGCTCAGTGACCCCTCTGCCCGCACAGCCCCATGGCAGGAGCTCAGCCCCCAGGCGCCTGGGCGGAGGCTCAGGTCAGGTCTACACAGTGCATCTGCCACTTCCCTACGGGCCACTCTCTGGGAACAGTTCTTGCTCGTCCCCTTGCCATGTGACTAGGCATGCCTCTCCTTAGGGCCACACAGCCCCCTGTGTCACAGAGGGAGATTAGAAACACTCAGGCTGGGCTCAGGGGCCCATGCCTGTCATCCCAGCGGTTTGGGAGGCTGAGGCAGGAGGATCGCCAGTTTTGCTGAGGCCAGCCTCAGCAAAAGTGAGGCCCTGAGCAACTCAGTGAGACCCTGTCTCTAAATAAAATGCAAAACAGGGCTGGGGACAGGACTCAGTGGTCGAGGGCCCCTGGGTTTAAGCCCTGGTACCAAAAAGCAAAACCCCCAGCCACCTCCCTCCAGCACTGAGACCTGCCTCCCGGCCCCGGGGCCGGGTGGAGACCCTCTCCTCAGAAGCCAGGACGGGCACACATTTTAACAGGGCCTCTCCGTGGTGACTTCCTGGGCTGTTGCTGGACCGTCCAGCTTGTCACCAAGAAGACACCCTCCCCCAGCAGGGGCAGACCCCAGAGGGCGTGAGAAGGGCCGGTTTACTTCAATCTGCTGCGGGGTCGAGCTGATCCTCTGTCCGGCGGTATCGGTCACGCTTGCGGTCAGGCTGGTCTGGCCGATGGCCGTGCCATGCACCAGGAACGCAGCCATGTAGCTGTCCAGGGCTTCATCCAGGGCCCTGAAACAGACGGGGCGCTGGGTTCCACCTCCGGGTCAGACCTGCCAAGGAGGGCGCAGTCGGTCCAGCACTGTCCCTGAGAAGCCCGCCTGACCCCCGGGAGGACTCACACCAGGGTGATGATCTGGGAGGCCGCCCGCAGCTTGAGGTCCATGAAGGCAAAGTACTTGGCCAGGAAAGACTTCTTGTAAAAGTCCAGCACTCGGACGTGGGCCTTGACCATCTTTCCAATCTCCACCTGTGTCGGGGGGACAGAGGCTTGAAGGACCAGTTCCCTCAGGTGGGGACAGTGACCTCAAAACCAATGCCCCAGGAGCTGGCGATGAGTCGCCCAGGATGACCTCTCTCTGGACTAGGTCAATCAACAAACGAACACCAATTAAGTACTTATTGTATACAACAGGGCTTGGGGACACTAAGAGACAAAAATTCCACTCCCTACTCTTAATGGATGAACCACAGAACCCCGAAAATAAGGTATAGCTTAGGCCAGGCGAGGTGGCCCACGCCTGTCATCCCAGCAGCTCGGGAGGCTGAGGCAGGAGGATCGTGAGTTCAAAGCCAGCCTCAGCAACAGTGAGGCCCTAAGCAAATCAGTGAGGCCCTGTCTCTAAATAAAATGCAAAATAGGGCTGGGGATGCGGCTAAGGGGCTGAGTTTCCCTGAGTCCAATCCATGGTACACTCATTCAAAAAAAAGAAAGAAAGAAAAAAATATATATAGCTTATAACTCCATCATGCATTCAACAGGAGCTCAATAAGTGCTCACCAACTGAACAGTTCACATCTGGCAGTGCATAATAGCAAGTGGGGGCTGGAAATGCTTAGCAAAAAAAAGGAATCTAGTAAGGAAATGAGCAATCACATTATGGGAGGAATATTTAAGACCCGGTCGGGAATGTTAGCACTTTAGCTAATTAATGATACTTTGTAGGTAAGTAGCCTAAGCTGCCTGAATATTTGCCTTTTAATTACCAACCGTTACACCCACTGGGTCAAACAAGAGGCTGACAGCACCCCCTGGAAGCCTGGCGTGGGTTACCTCTGATATTGGGAGTCATAAAAATTTCCTGATGAGCTGGGTGCCTGTAATCCCAGTGGCACGGGAGGCTAAGGCAGGAGGATCGTGAGCCTCAGCAACAGCGAGGCCCTAAGCAACTCAGTGAGGCCCTGTCTCTCAATAAAATACCAAAAGGGCTGGGGACGGGGCTCAGGGGTCGAGTGCCCCTGGGATCAGTCCTGGTACCAAAAAAATATAATAATAATAATAATAATAATAATAATAATAATAATAATAAAAAGTTTCCTGATAAGGCCAAAGAAAACCCAGATCTATTATTTACCATTTTGCAAGAGCAATTGGAGGCCCTGAGCTCTCCCCAGGGTGGTGAAACTCCAGAGGAGCACAGCTGCACCCGGGATGGGGGGCCCGGCTGCTGTGTGACCTGCGGGCGCTGGAGGACACGGGTCCCAGGCCAGGCTGGCTTAGCTGACCTCGCCAGGGTCTATGGCTGAGCCCCGCGGATGTCGGCTGGATGAGGAAACCAGACAGCAGTGGAGATGCTGCCCCTCCCCACCCAGCCAGGGAGCTCAGAGCAGCCCAAGGGCAGTGGGAAGGCCAGCTTTGAGGGGACATGTCCACTGACCTTGTCAACCACGCGGACGTAGACGGTGGCCTCGGCTGGGGCCAGGAAGGGCAGGCACAGGTCATGGATCAGGACGGTGGCCGAGCCTGGCAGTAAAGGGTGCACCTGCAAGATGTGGGGTGGGTGGGGTCAGGCCCCCATCTCTGGGGTGCCGCTGCCTGAGACCAGTGCTTGGAGGCAGTGGACAAGGACATCCACAACCCAAGGGGTGTTCTGTCTACTTCCGTGGGCCCCATGGCCAGCCAGCAGAGGAGCTGGGGATGTAAAATGTCCGTGCTGGGGATCTCTGAAAGAGCGTCTATGTCAACTTTGTCCATTTTACAAAGAGAAGAAAATGGAAGCTGCTCAGAGAGGGGCAGCAGGCGGCCTTGGGACACACAGCAACCTGAAGGCAGAGTCAGGATTTAACCCCAGGAGGCCAGGTCCTGTTCTGGCCGTCTGTTTCTGCGACTCCATGGGGCGAGGCTGCCAACCAGGAGCCGGCAGAATAGGAGACAGGTGCTTTCAAAAGTGAGTTCTAAGAAACCCCCATTAGAGCTCACAGCGTCACAGAACCTGGGGACCGACCCCAGAGGTCACTCAGGCAGATGCTCCTAGAGGCTCATCCATCTCTACGCCCTGGCTTTGCTTGAGGTAGTGACCACAGCAAACGCACCAAGTGAAGGAGCAAACCTGAGCTGGTGTTTTCTGGACTTTTAGCTGCCAAATGTCCCCATTTTAACTCTTCTCTCCCAACCCCTTCCAGGGACCCCACTTTCTACAGAATCTCCCCCCTAACAAATGGCACCCCAGTCTCTCTCTTGTGCTGCCAGATGATGGGCATCCCCACACTGGACGTTTCTCAGCTGAACATGGACCAGCTGCAACATGTCATAGTGCTTAGGTGAGTATTTCACCTGGGGGTTTTCGGTTGGGGCGGGCAGGGCCAAGGGGGGTTGCGGCCCGTCTCTAGCTCACTTTGCTTCCTGCTCTTTGGGATCCCCTACTCAGGGGAAGGGCGATGTGCACAGCGACAGGTCAGTATCTGCTAAGAGGACTTTCAGTACTAAGAATCTGGAGGGGGAAAAATCAGGCTTTGGACTCAAAAGGAGACAAGCAGCCAAGATCATATCGCACCCTGGTTAAAACACGTCCACGGCTTTCCAGTGCTCTGAGGTTGAGCCCGAATCCTCAACGTGTCCTACTGGAGACTGCGGTGGCCAAGGCCGCAACCCCCCTTGGCCCTGCCTGCCCTGGCTGAAAACCACTCAGTTGAAATACACGCCTAAGCAATACGACACTCGCAGGGCCACAGTCTCACTGCACCATCCCTCATAACCATCAAGCCCCAGCCACATCAACCTTCTCTCCTGTCCTCACGGTCAGCAGGCTCCTGCCCGCCTACCTGCCATGTGACCTTATAGTCCACCTTGAAGGTCTGGGATACAGCCAGGATGGTGGTGCATGCCTGTAATCCCAGCAGCTTGGGAGGCTGAGGAAGGAGGATGGTGAGTGGGAGGCTGGCCTCAGCCAAAGCGAGGCCCTAAGCTCTTCTCCCTTGAGCTGTGCCTTCTGACTCCAACCCAGCCTCCACCCCATACAGGGGAGGCCCCTCCATTACTTTGCTGACTTCTCCCAGGGGCTCCTGTCACCATCTCTAACACAGCCTTAATGGAGAGCACCACTCAGCACCTCCTTCCCCTCCTGGCCTCTCCACCCTATGCTGGGCCTGGTGCCTGGCACAGCCTGGACCCTGGGCACCTCCCTCATCAGACAGAGGCACTGAGGGATCCTCCAGATGCACAGACACCTGGTCCTTGAGCCAGCCTGGCTGTCCAAAGTCTGAACCTGCCTAGTGAAGACATGGAACTTCCGGAAAAATACCCGTGCATCCCCATTCATGCGGGAAGTACTCCCCGTCGGGGCTCCTGGTGCCAGCAGAGTCAGGGGATGCCTGTGGCAGCCAGGACGGAGGTGTCGGGGGGAAGGATGGGCAGCCAGTGGGAAAGGCCAGTGGGTACATCTGCCCCCCAAGGAGAGCCCATTGGGAACCGCAGAGAAGAACGAGAAACTTCAATTTTTGCACATTTTAAACAGAGGCAGAAAAGGACAGTGGGAAGGTCACTGTCCCTTCCGCTCAGCTGTCAGAGGGTGGACGTGTGGCCACCTTCTGGAGGCTGGCCTGCCCCGTGTCTGGGGTGCCCTGGCTCCCTTCACCTCTGTGATGACGCTGGGGCCTCACAGGCCACGTTGGGGACAAACTGGTGGCTGTGGGGACCTGCGCCTGACCCTACCAGGACCACAGCCCCTGCCTCTCATGGCCTGGGTCCCGGGCTCCTCGGCCAAGCTGGAAGGACAGAGCTGGGGACAAGCCAGGCCTGGAGTGAGCCCTGGATTCCAAGAGCTGGAGTGTCACCCGAGGACATTGGCAGACGGAGCCCAGGGCAAAGTTGTGTCACCTGTTTGCAGGTGACGAATGCAGTGCTGCCCTAAAGAACCAGTTGCCATCCCAGCCCCCGCCTCCTCCCCAGGCCCCCACCCTGCTTTAAAGTCCCCCGACAGGTGGCCTTCGCAGAGACCAAGGACACGGGGATATCTCTGCCTCTCTGCGGCCGCGGGCTCCTGTTCCCTGAAAACCTGTGCAGGCTCCATGGTGGGACAAGCATGTGGGACAGAGGGGACTGTGTCTCTTCCTGTGCCCCAGGAGTCACCCTCAGCCCAGAGGACAACCTCGGCTCACGTGACAAATCTCAGGCTCTGAGGGGAGTCCTGGCCTGGGTGCTGGGCATGTGCCCCTCTGTCCACAGACCAGTGTCACACAAAAGTAGGGCCACCTGAGCTCAGGCCCAGCTGCTGCCACTGCTCCCTGCCTGCTCCCCAGCCTGTGTCCCCAGCAGCAGTGGCACCAGGCCCTGCACTGCTTCCCAGGGCCTAGGAGACACCAAGAGGCACCACTGTGTCCTCTGCTGCCCTGTCAACGTCATCCCACACCCAGCAGAGCCCTTGGCCTGACAGGAACGCCAGCCCTGCAGAAGGGACACAGCAGTGAGAAGTGGCAGTCGCTCAGGTGGCAGGGGACGCTTGGCCCTGCTCCTGTGACCACGCAACCTCAGCTGGAGGGCTCATCTTGACCCACCAGG